GCTCCATTCGATTTTATCAAATGCCTTAGCCATGTCTAACTTGATGATAGCATTGCCACTGTCACAATGTTTGTCTAGACTGTGAACCATTTCACAAGTCATTAGGATATGATCATCCACACCCATTCCCTTTTGGAACCCAGCTTGCTCCTTAGAGATGAGTTTAGATAAGAGAGTTTGTAGTCTAGAGGCCAGGATCCTGGAGTTAATCTTGCTCATAAAAGTAGAGAGAGAAATGGGCCTATAGTCTGAGAAAAGCTTACAGACTTTCTTCTTAGGGATCAGAGTGATGAGAGTGCTTCCAAAGGCCATTGGAATAGGGACTCCTAGGAAAAATTCTTGAGTGGCCTTGATGACATCCTCTTTAATGATACTCCAGCAGACTCTAAAAAAGCTGCCATTGAATCCATCAGGGCCTGCTGAGCTAGTAGGACTAAGATCCCAAACTGCTTTTTGGATTTCTACTTCATCTGGAATTCTGCCCATCATGAAATTGTCCTCTGGGGTGATGAGGTTGGGGATATATTCCAAGATGTGATGAGCATGAACTTCTTTGTGAGTGCTGAACACCTGTTTAAAGTAATCCTCTGCTGCCTTTCGGATCTCCTCTACCTCCATTTTTTTCCTTCCATTGCCATCTGTAATGCTTCTGATCTTGAGGTTGCTTCTTCTGCTCTTGACATAAGAGTGGAAAAAGGAAGAATTCTGATCCCCTAATTCCATCCATTTAATATTAGCTTTCTTTTTCCAAAAGAGGGTTTCTCTGTTAGTGGCTACAATTAGATCAGCTTGAGCTTTGTTGGCTATGGATCTCAAGATATCAACTGGATTCTGTTCATACTCTTCTTGTGCCTTCATTGCTTTACATTCTGCTTCCTTTACAGCTTCAAAGATGTCACCAAATGTTTCCCTGCTCCAGTTTTTAAGTGTAGCCTTGAGCCCTTTGAGTTTAATAACCAGTCACCTCATTCCTCCTATCATGGGCTGCTGGGTCCAGTTAACTTTGACTACCTTGAGGAAGTTGATGTGGGAGAACCAGAAGTCTTGGCATCGGAATGGTTTTGCTCCTTTGAAGTCCTCTAGTTGGCATTGCAGCAAAATAGGCTTATGGTCGGAGGAGGTTTTGCTCAGATGTTTCATGTTAAGTTCAGGGGAATGGTTCATAGTGAGAGGGTTAACCAAAGCCCTGTCTAATCTTCTCCAAATTCTTCCCCTACTCCTCACCCCACTCCAGGTGAAGATACCTCCTTCAAAGGCTGGGCAAATGAGTGGGATGGCTTCAATGCAGTCTTTGAAGTCTGTAATGTCTGCCATGTCTGCCAGGGTGGGGGTGGTTAGGCCTTGGTGCTCCTCAAGGGAGCAAATAGTGTTAAAGTCACCCCCTACAATCCAAAGGTGATCACTGATAACATTATCAGAGATGTCCTTCCATAGTTCCTTTCTCTGACTTCCAGTGTGTTTGCCATAAATTGAGGTGATGCTACACTTGGTGCTGAGGTTATTATCCCAGAAGTGACAGGTGTACATTTGACCAAAGTCTTGAAAGAATAATAGTTTGAATCTATCCCCATTCCAGAAAACCCAAAGCTTGTTGTTAAGGGCTGAAGCACAATTAGAGAAACCAAGCTGAACTCTAGTAGTATTGACTTTATGTTCCTGAATCATAGGTTCCAAAACAGCAACAAAATCAAGTTTATAGGTTTTGGTAAGGGAGGTTAGCCTATTAACAGAGGAGTTAATACCAAAAACGTTCCAGAATAAAATATTCATGACAACTGATAGAATGTAACATCTTTATTCCCCTTCATGCTCCTTGTGAGCATAGAGGGGTAAGCCTGTTTTTGTTTATTCTTGATCGCTTTGGGGACTGAGACACATATTGAGGATGGATCTGGTGTTTTTATATTAATAGCTTGAAGCTTAGATTTGTCTAACACTTCTGTTTCTTCTCCCTCTGAGTGGTATCCAAATTGAAATTTACAGTCAATATTTTTCCTTGTGCCTTCTGCCTGCAGGGGTTCCAGCAAGATGCCAAGATCAATCTCAGGGCTCTTGAATAGACAATCATCCATTGCCTTGTAGGAGAAGGGAGTTTCCTTGGCTTTTGGTAATTCTGGGGACTTGTTGATTTTCATCCTCCGAGTATACTCCTTTGCTTCTGATAAAGATGGGAAGACAGGAATTGAAGGGTTGCTGTTGGAATCATGGAGTCCCTCGAGTAGGGTTATAGGGTCAGTAGCTTGTACCTCTGAAGTTTGTGGGTCATAACTATCAAACATGCACTGTGACTGACCTGAAAAAGGCTCCAGATGCTGGTCCAGTAAGTGGAACTGGTTTTGGCTTGTAGCTGTTGTTGATAACTTCTCTTTCCTGACCCACTTCATTTTGGATTGCAGGCCATGTGATGGTATTTTGTTGGGTCTTGCTTTGTTCTTTCC